ATGAGATTTTTTTCTAAACCAAGCAAAAAATGGGAAGGAAGGGCGAGATGTGTGTGAGCAACATAAATTGTGCTGGCAACTGCTGACACTTTTCATTTTTGAGGGTAGCAGTTTGGGGTTGATAAAATAAGTGAAGGAAAGTCAGTGGAAAAGAGAGATGAAAGCAAAAGACAAGAGAAGCAGATAGAGGAGGAGGAGGAGGATGGAAAAGACTTCCAGGGGGAGAGGAATGAATTGGGCTGGTTGTCGGGCATCCGAGCCTTGCTGGTGTGGGAGCTACCCGACTGTTCTCAGCTTTGGAGGACCAAGCTGCGTCTTGCAGCTGAACCTCATTTTGCCAGTAACTGTACTTTTGCTACGTATTGTTCTTAATTTTGATAACGTACTCTTAGTGCATGTGTACTTAGTGCTGAACTTCAGCTGTGGGCCTTCTCACCCGCTCTGTGTGCGTTCCTTTGGGGCGAGGGAATCCCCATTCAGACTTGTTTTCATCTGCAGTCTGGAGAGTGCTGCTTTCCTCCATGCTAACTCCTGGGGGTGAGTAGCTCCTGCATGATTGCAGGGGTTTGTTAGCAAGAAGGTAGTCTGGGATGAAGCCATTAACCACATTGCTTGCTCATTTTTTACTCCGGGTTGCCCATCACAGGCATGGGAGTGAGTGGACGCTGCAGAATTTCTGTCCTGAGGTAGAGCCTGTCCCCCCTTCTCGGCGTGCATAGTGTCTCTCTGCTCCAGTTCCTAGTTTCTTTATAAATGATATGTTTGTGTGGCTCTAGCTTTTTCTGTAACTGTGGGCTTTGGGTTTTTTTGCTTGTTTGTTTTTTGCCCGCTGTTCTGAATTGTACTGAGCACTCTGGGGAAGCGGAGATGTGGGTGGCCTTGCTTCAGCCAAGCCAGGGAACACTTGATGTGGAAGTACCCTAAGCCACGTTACTGCTTTTGTTTTCCTTCTCTGGCTTAGGTATTGGGATGAGGGAGCTTAGAAAAGAGCATAAAGATGTAAAATCGTAATTTTCAAGCAATATTTTTACCTGTCCGTAGTGCTTAGTCATTGGTTTAGTGCCGCTTTTCGGTCACAGGGAAGGTATCACTTAGTTTGGATCTTGCATGTTCGTGGTGCCCCTTGTGGCTGCCATGTGTCCAAATGTCCGGGGCTGATGCTGAAGCAGCACCTATAGGCAAGGCCGGGAAGTGGAGCCAAGTGATGATTTCTCCCAAAATACGAATATCCAGGATAACTAACGTGAAGAAAACAAAACAAATGGACTAAACATTTTGTTAGGGTTTGGTTGGTCACTTGGGTGTGTTTTCCCTTGTAGTGCTCTTAGTTTTAATATTAGAGAGGACATGCTATATTGGAATATTGATCAGGGACCCTGAATAGCATATTCTCATGTTTTAGTAATGCATTTCAGTTGGACAATGACTAATTGGAGTAGCAGAAGTCCAGTGATATCCATTCCCATGCTCTGTAAAAGAAGAATGGGCTCTGGAAATAATAATAAAAATAGTAATGTAAAATCTAAGTATAGTTCTATAAAAAAAAAAAGGAAAATTTTCATCAGTCATGCCTTGCTTAAAATAGTCCATGTTAAAGAGCAGGTAACAAAGCTTTGCTGAAACCCTTCAAAAGTTACAGTAGTGGTAAAATTTCAACACAAAGGGAAAATGATTTTGTTTCTACACTAAGTGAGCTTTTTTTTGTCTGTCTTTGCAGATGAAGACTGTTAGCGTTGCCTTAGTTTTGTGCCTCAATGTTGGTGTGGACCCTCCTGATGTGGTGAAAACAACTCCCTGTGCCCGCCTGGAGTGTTGGATCGGTAAGTCGAGAACTTCCACGCTCCAGTTAACTGTATTAGTTGTATGAATACCGAGTTATGGCATGTAGAGTGATCTCAAAGTTGTGTGTTTCCTGGGCTGAAAACTAGGGTGAATAAAAGGAAATCTGGCATCTGATTTCACTCTGTCGATACGAGTTAATTAAGTGTCCAGCAGTAACTGCTGCTGCAGGTCATCTCTCCTGCTTTATTCTAAAATGAGACAGCATGGAGGAAAAAAAAAAAAAAAGCTGTTAATTAGCTATTTAGCTTTATTCTAATTGTTGTAGATTTATAAATATCTCAGGAAATCTCTGAGCAGTAACATCTTCAGAGTACTGTGATCTGCAAAGGTTTAAAATTGCCCTGCAACATTCAGTAGAGAAATAAGTTTCTGTAAAATGCATGGACTTTACTGCATGTTGAGGTGAGCGCTCTGGGGCTATTTTAATTAGGATCATGAATTTGGAGGACCTGGAATTGTTCCCAGGGATGTCTTGCCAGCAGTTCCAACGCATGAGCTTGCTACTTTGATGCAGTGTTGGACTAAATTCCTAGGGTTTTGTGAAGAAATGAAAAGTTCCCTTGGTTTTAGAGGTCAGGTCTGATTATCAAGATGAGACAAATCTGAAGTGATATTAGAAGGAGATACCTTGTGTAAGAAAGCTTTCTGAGAGAGATTTGTTATTATCTAGGAATTGAAAATGCTCAGTCTTCAGCGAGTAACATGCAGAGCACCGTAATCCTCAATCTGGGGCCTGGGATAGGCTGCAGGAGCAAATTAATCATTGCACAAACTGAATTTCTTTAAGAACTTTCAGAACGTCTTGTTTCTAACCTTGGCTTACCTGCTTTATGAATCACAGCATCTCATTTTTTTTAACCTAAAAATGCTGATGATTAAAGCGGTTAAAAAGCCATGAGCATGCACTAACAAATGCATCTATTCAGTGGAGAGAACAGCTCTCATTTCTCATTGATACAAGAGCAGAGAGCAAAGAGAATGAGGAGCATTGCAGAGTCATTAAAATAAAGTTGTTAGTGATTATCATCAACAAAGAGAATTTTGAATGCAGTTTTTTTTTTTAATTAAATTTTTAGTGTGTGTATATGTACACAATTACTCATTTCCATTTCTAGGCAACTTTAAATTTCTGAAAAAGGTAATTGCAAAAATATCCGCTGTGTTTTCTTCTATACAGCAGTCTCAAGTAAAGCCAGTGGTGTGTATTGTGGGAATGTAATGGCTTTGCCAGATGTGCAAGAAAGTGTGGAAATCATTTTGGTGCAATTGCTGCTATTTACAACTGAGCTGAGATCACCAGCTTGTAGAACTCTGGTAGTGAACGGCCATCGCAGCCTCAGACAAAGCCGGCTCCAGTTCTCACTGTACCTTCAGACGCACCCTTAGAACATCTCAAGTGTTTTGTTTTTCTCCCCAATTAAGCCTTAGCTGAAATCTGTGCTACAGTGTCAACCTGGCACCATTTAAGGCACGGAGAGCTTCGTATGGTGATTATTCCAGAGGCGCCTCGGCCTATGTATCTGCAGGCCTTTGCTAGCCTTATGTATGCGCTCCACAGGGGAGGCTGAAAGCTCATGTAACGACTGTGGTGGCGTGAGCTATATTTAGGAAAATTTCCCATGGTTTCCATGGTTTGGCTCTTGGAATGGCACCAGCGTACCTTATTTTTGTATAAAGTGTATTGTTAATAATGCTAACTACTCTGATGGTGCTCCAGAGTCCACGGACTACATTTCTCTCCTGTCAAAGTGCACGTGAGGTATTTTTAATTTATTTTTCTGAAGTGCAGTTTGGGCCTTTTGAAGGTCTAAAAAAAGAATCTGATGTGTTTATGCTATTTTTTTTTGCTTCCCTTTTTTTTTAATTTGAGCTGTAGCTAATGGCGTATTAACGAAAGATGTTATGAGGCAGTGTGAATACTTTGGGGCATTACTGTTCAGCATCGCTAGGGTACCTGCTCGGAACTCGCCCTGAATAGCAGGGGGCCTGTTGCGGTGCAGAGCAACAAAGACTGCCGCCTTTCTCAAAGGTATGGCAGCGAGTGCTGAGGCCGCAGGGTCCGTGGTGGGCAGCGGGTGCTCGCTCCCTCCTGGAGACGGCTCTGGCGAGGCTTCTGGAAGAGCAGCTACGGCTGAGCCAAGGCGAGCAGACAGGCTTGGTGAGGTCTGAGCCCACGATTTACTGCTGCTTGCGTTCGTTTTGGGAAGATGTAATGCGAGTCTGCCATTTACCTTAAATCTTTCTACAAAAGTCTGCTAAAAGTTACATAACATCCTAGCTTTTACTCATGTAAGAAAAATAACTCATAAAATCCTGCTTTCATCCTACTTGGTTTATTTTGTTTCTAACAGTGCAAGGTAGAATATTTGTAAAGATTTAAAAAAAAAAACAACTTCATTGATTTGGTTAAATGCTCTTAAACTAATTTATATCAAATTGCACGTTATTAGCTTCTAGGGTTTTTTGAAACTTGTTAATAGTATCAGTTATGGCCATGTTTTTTTGAATAAAGCACATAAGCTGAGATTGTATCGATATGTATAGATGGTGGTAGTTATCTAGTGATAAAATGAACTTGTTAAAAACTACAGATGGCATATACGCTCTGAAGCAGTAAGTGATGAAGGTAAATGAAACAGGATTTTGCATTCATGAAAAAATGTTTGTTGTCAAATATTTAACCAATTAAAATTTTTGTCATTATTTACTATAGAAACCTTTTTTCTTGGTATTAAAAGAAACAAATGTTATGCCTCTCCTGTCTTTCAAAACAAGATTGTATTTATTACCATAGCAAGAGAAATATTTTTCCAAATTTGACAGCCTTTAATGGCTTTTAATTTGTATTCGAGTGAAGAGATTGGGAATAATTTTGGGGTATTGCACCCACGTAAATTCCGTGGAGACTGTAATGTTTATGAGTTTGCAATTGAATGCGTGGCAGGAACCTGCAACAAACCATCATTCCACGATCCTTCTTGCAAGCAGAACCGTGGGAGCGAAAGTGCAGAAAGCTTTTGGCTTCTTTCTCCTGCAAAGGCGGGGGTGTGTTCATGCTTTGACGGAGCCTTTGGTCTCCCATGTTGTAGATCTGAATTTTACAGAAACATAATGTGGAGTAGCTAAAGGTTGAAATGCCCATCGAATTGGAAATAATTTCTGCTTCTCGTCAAGCTGAGTGGTTCACTTGTGGACAAATACCCATTTGTGTTATATTCCCTAGATCCGCTGTCAATGGGGCCTCAAAAAGCTCTGGAAACCATTGGTGCAAATTTACAGAAGCAGTATGAAAACTGGCAGCCAAGAGTAAGTATTCCTTGGGCTTCTCCTCTTCCCCCTTCTAGATGTGATACTCCGTCGCGATAACCGTCGCGATAACCTGAAGAGCGAGCGTGTGTCTGTTGTGCGGTGTGGTCCTGCAGCATTTGTCACTTCCTTCATCCGTCAGTGTGAATAAATCCTTGCAGGCTGTCGAGCTTCGTGTCTCCCAAACTGATGCCCCTCCTGGCTAGCTCTTTCTTTGATGGCATCTGGGGTATTTGTTTAAAGTACCAAGTCCTACAGTGATTCTTTTTTATTTCTATTTCTCTGACTTTAGTGTATTTTTGAGATGTTCTGAAGTTTTTCATTCTGAGTTTATAGTTTCTTCTGTTGTAAAAATGTGGTTGGCCTCAGCTGGTTCACAACTGTGTCCCAGCGCTCATCAGAGCTGGTTTTGTGCTTTGGAACAAATGAATGCTGTACAGTGAGGAGCTGAGGAAGGCTTTTGGGTTTGTTGCAAAACATCGTTTCAGAGCTTTGGTAACTGCTAAATTCTAACTTCAGCATAAAGCGTGCATACATCTTAGAGAATGAATGTTTTGGGTAGTAGTAGCACAAAGCAGGAGTTAAAGAAACGTGCGAGCAACTGGCGCCGCATTTCCCTTCTGTAACATCTCCCTCTGTCCCACTGGGGAAGTGGTTTGCTCCTGGGTGTTTCAATGTCCATAGTTCCATGTGTCCCAGTAAATAAACTACAGAAAGATCTGAAAAACAAAATTTGAATTCTGCAGCGCTTTCCAGATAGATACAAACCCCAAACTGGGATCATCTTTGCTGTTAATGCTCCCCAGTTCATGTCCTTATCTGTGTGCTCTAGGCAATTTGGGTCAAAATATTCTTCTTCAAAGTACCTGGACTATTGACTCCTAAATCATAAATTTATCATTATAAGCATGTAATGTGTAACCCAAACAGAAGTAGTAACTTCACTGAATGAACCTACCTGTAGATTTGCTTTAGTTTTTCTTTTCCTTGTGATGTGGTGTGCATGCTAACCTGGCCTTCATTTTTTTTAAGGAGACATTGTTTCTTCTCCTCCTTTTAGGTTGTCTTCAATAATAGTAATTATGTGCATTTTTGTCAGCACCAGGACTATATTTTCTGTTTCTAACATTGCTCATTGCCTTATTTAATGTATAAATAATCTGCTGAGTGTCTCTGTAGTGTCTGATGCTATATGGTGTAAGAGCATGGTCTGCAGTTGGAACAGTTACTGGTACTTGCCTGTCCTCCCTCTAGGATGACTGGTTGAGAAGGCCTTTGTGCTAGCAGTGCCCTTTGGGGTGCTCCTCCTATTTAAACTGTGATGGGTTACATTCATGTGCTTGTTTCTTTATCGTTTATGAAATCAGTAAAGCTAGATTGCCACTGCTGGTGTTTTGTTTGGGTCTGGAACCTAGAAGCTCTGAACGTCCCCATTCCTACAGGGAGAGAGAGAACTTGGGCTTTGTGTTCTGTGCTCCCCCGACGTCTTCCATTCCTTCATGGACTAATACCTTCCGATAAAGGACAGTGGCTTTGAGATTATCTTTGCAGACCTGAACATAAACTTTTCTTCTGCTAGACACTGCTGAGAATATTTCTCACCGACTAAAGGGTTGGTGGCATATGTGTTGTTAAGGCTGCCGGTGAGATAGTTTGGTGTATGCATTCCAGTCCCTCTTCTACTCTCTAATTCAAACTCGATGGAAATAATACTCTACTCAGAGCAATTTGAATGTACATGCAGTTCGTACTGGTTCTTTACCTCTTGCCTTTGTGGGATACTTCCCTGCTCCCTTATTCAGGGTTGACTGACTAGAATGGAGTTTATCATTCAGTAAAAGCGGAACGTATTACCCGAAGGAGGCTTACTGGTTTTAGTGGGGAAATGTTTACCTGCTAAATCTGTGGGTAATTGTCTGTGGGTATGCTTTTCTCTGAGGTGTTTTCTAAGTAAGTTTATATAAGGACTTGTCTTGAAGCGTATATGGTACATATTTAAGACAATAGAATTTACTTTTGCATTTTTCCTCTTGGTACATTGAGAATTTTTTTAAATCTCTCCCTAGCAGCCGAAGAATTTGGCAGAAAATTCAAATAGAGTCTGAGCTCAAATAGAAGGGTAACACATCTTGATGCAAAGGTGAAAACAATCCTTTTTCTCTGCTCTGTAATGACGGAGTCCATATTACTGAGGAATGAGGGACAGGCGTCTAGAAGCAGCAGGTACCCTGTGTGGGCCGACCTCACGCTGCCTTGTAGAGTTTGCACAAAACATGAGGCAATTACTGAGCTCAGATGTTCCTGTGCAAGGTGCCTGGTTCTTAACAGTAAATCACAGCCCTGTGAAACATTGCAAAGCTGAACACGTACCAGTTTATTGCACTCTACAGGGCTCTTGAGTTTTCTGCAGTAATAAAGAGAAGTTGATGTGCCATCTACAATAAAACAATAGGAACATTATTGAATTTCCTAGACCTCTCATACAAATACTAATCCATCTAGTTTTGTCTGTTTCTCACTGGTTTGGAATGGTTGAGGAATTGATGGAAGGACGACAATTTGGGGAAAATGAGGCAGTCTGAAAAAAAGACCAAATCATGAAAATCTTCTGAAATAGCCAATATTGTCGGGCTGTCAGCACCAGTCCTTACGCTAGGAAATGCCTGTCGTCGGTACCTTACTGTGAAGGCACAAACGGTGCTCGCTGCTGGCGAATGGATCGCGTCAGTAATAAACAGTGAACCGTCCTGTGACATCGCCACCGGGGCAGCCCTTCGCTGCTTATCATCTGGAGGAGGATGTTAAATACCTGCCCGTGTGTGTTAAACACAGATAGCGGAGGTGAAAAAGCCTTAAAAGGGGTAAGCGTGAAAATTCTTTGTTTCTGGAAGCTCCCAGGCTGCACAGCTGATGCATATTTCCTTCCAGGTCTTATTGAGCCCCTTTCTAAATAATTTATCAGCTTGCCATTGCTTGAAGTATTTCTTCTGATTACATTTAAGACTTTGCTTTATTGTTGTGTAGCTACATAAATTTGTGTGCTGCGGGAGTAAAAAACACTTCAGCCGTTGTTTTGTCTGCAAGATACTGCAGTTAAACAATATTCAGTCATTTCATTGTAATTCTCAAATGAAAATTTTACTGGGGGAAGAGAGTAGGAGATGACAAAGCTGTAGGCTTTGTCTGTCTCTATAAAGAATTTTCTGAACAAGTAAGAGTTCCTGCAGTTCAGCACAAAGGTAATTTAGGTGCTAGTGAAAAAGTGGGAAGGAAAAAACCACAGCTCCTCTCTGACCTTACCATGGGTGATGGGGCTTGAGTTTCACTGGGCACGGAAGGGGTTAAACCTGAGGGTAATCCGGAAAGCAGGCTCAATTACAGGGGATAAAAGGGGTTGCTTAAGCAGCTGGGAAGGAAAGGAAAAAAGGTAGTGAAAGTGAAGAGCCGAGGACCCCACCATGCCCAGCCTGACTGGAGTGGGGGAACCTTCCCTGTGGCTGCTCCTCTGGTGTTTGGGGAATCTGCAGCCTGACGGGTTGGGGAACGGCGGGTGGAGCTGAGCAAAAGGGGGGCTTGCTGGTTACAGGACCTGGATTAAAGAGTTTGGCAGGCAGTGTCAGGAGAACACCCTGAAAAGGGAGAGCCTTTAGCTGAGACAGCACACTATATCACTCTAATTGCCCCAAATAAAGAAACTTTAAATTTCTATTGGGGATTTTTCCATGCTCGGTATTTAAAATATTTAGGTAAGAAGTTGATCACACTGATAGGGTATTTCTCTGCTTCTGATCTTCATTGGTTGCCCTCCGCAGAACACTGCCTGTGCGAGGTGCAGCGTTGTAGTAAGTGACCGGTGAGCGCACTCCTTGGCTCGTGCTAGCAGTAAGTAGCAAGTATTTTCCCTGTTGTTTGGGTGCAAATTTGGTTTTCTCGGCAGCATTGCATGTTATTGCCATTCAAAAGGCAGGAACTTTCTTTAGTTTGAAAGTCAACAGACTTTCTCTGAAAATAGGAATAATAGACTACAAATTCCGAGTGCCACTGCGGTGAGATAGTTTATGGAGACGCAGCAGCTAGTGAGGATTTTTATGAGCAGAAGTTACTGTTACTTAAGTCCCAGTTTACATCCATTTATCAGCAGAGCCGGGGACTTGGGTTGTTTGCTGTAACGTTCTGCAGAGCTGGAGCAGAGGGCTCGGTGGAGAGGAGGAAGGTGTTCCTCGGCCTTCTGCTGCTCCGCTGCACAGCACGCGGTTCCTTTTCTCGTGGGCTGGTTTGAGAGAGCACGTTTTTTCTGCATCCTTTTGGCTGGAGTTCTCGGAACTGGGCTACGGCGCTTCAAAAGCACCGATTGCCCTGCGTGAAATGCTCGTGGTGTGCAGCATTGTACAAAATGCTACGAGATGAGGTCGATCTGTGGTAGCTGGCTTTGTTCTTAGAAGGGCGCCAGATTTTTTCTCCCCCCACCGCCCATAACAAACATCTCATTACTCAGCTTCTTCCCTAGATCACAAAATTCCCTCCGTTTCCATTCCTGTGTATACACCTTTGGGAATGGGGCTGGGTAGCCACAAGCAGGGCTGGGGGTGGAGTGATGCACAACTTGTGTAATTCAAGGTCTAGTATGAAGAAGTCTGGAGCATAGGCTTATTAAATTTGCATGAAATTAGAGAATCTTTTTCTTTTTGTTGGCTATGGCTTTTGACCAGTTTCTTTCTTTAACTCTAAACTGACCAGAAATTTCACAGGACTTTTTCTTCCTTTCTCTTGCCTTGCTCAATAATTTTGTCACTTCTGTTGGGATTTCTGCTCGTCCAAATGAATCCCAATGGCACGCCTATGCCAGGTGCTTTTTGCAATACTCTTCTTTATTCTCAGACAGAAACTTTGCCAGCCTTGCCCCTGGAAGGTCCAAACCTGCTGTTCCTAACTCTTCCTGAGCAGAGGGGGGGTTGGGAAAGCTGCTTCGGACACTTACAGTCCTCCATTGCTCATGAAGT